CATGTGGAAAAGAAGAGATTGATTATTTGGAATTGTGTCAAGAAAAATCAAGTTTTAAGATGTTAAATTTCTGTCTTATTTGATATGGTAATAAGATGTGAAAATACTAAAATATCCTTAAACACTCCCAAGCAATGGGTAAAAACTTTCCTTTCAACTAAACACGCTCCGGAAATCAACCACTAGCCTCGACCTTGCTGCAGACCACAAGAGGGAGGGAAAACAGAGGGAAAAAAAGTGGCTACAGTGACGAAAAGTAGGTCAGTGCTTTAAGCGAGAGTCGTAAAAAATTAGGTATGGAGTGGAAAAATGGATGTGATGGGCCTTAGAGTTGGACTCAGAGGTTATTTAAGGGGCAACAGACTCTGTTGAAAAAAGACACAAAACAACAAACAAAAAATAAAATAAAATAAAATAAAATAAACTAAACTTATAGAGTTGTCTTACTGTACTTCTATTTTAAGAAAGGGATTTATAATTTACAGTTCAAATTATATGTTTAAAGTATATTTCATTCAATGAATTTATTAAAATTTAAAACACATTTAATAAAATAATATAAGTAATAGTTTTATTAAAAATATTTTAATAAATTTATAAAATAGACTGCACCTTCAATATATAATTCACCTTGTAAGATTTTTTTTTTTTTTGTTTAAGAATCTCTTAGATGTGGCAGGGTTAAAATTTTGTTCAAGGGAGTGAAACAAAACCTTGATAAAGAACTGGTGTGGTTGTGCGTTAATTGAAAAGTCAATGTAGATGCAAAATCAAAGAGAGAGAGAGAAATTGATTTAATAACATTTGCTAGTCTATATAGTATAAGATCTGTTAATTGAAAGACAAAAAGGAACAGAAATTAAGTAGAATAAAAGGATATTTATGACAAAACACTTCTTGAATGGATGAAAAATTGGCAATGAACACTTAAATTTTTCACTCAATTAATCTTCCTTTTCCCCCATCTTTCATATTATCATCATTTTCCTCATGATCACCATAAACAATTATCAATAATAAAAGAAATAATAAATGACTAAAATGGTATTAGTCATTTATAAAATTTAATAGACCAAAGTAATTTTTCTGTAAAAGTTTAAGGGCTCTGCTAGTGGTCCTCCCTCCAATAACATACACCTTACTTCAGAAAAAACAATAAATATATAAATGAGAAAAAGGAAATCTCAACACAAAATTGCCAAAAAAAAAAAAGACTTTTAATATTAAGAGATATATTTTTTAAAAAAATTTAAATAGTGAAATTTGATGTAATTTAGATTATAAAATAATTTTTAATATAAATATACTCAAAGTCCAAGCACTACTAAAATGCATGAAATCATCAACAAAAATCTAGATTGGAAATTAAGGGAATTATGTCGGTAAAAACCCTTTCCAGCTTGAAACACGTCGATAAAATATTTATTGGTGTAAGTCTCTTTAGTAATTTATTCACCGATATAACTTAAATTCACATCAATAAAATACTAAAAATTACCAACAAAGCATGTCTCAAGCAATTAAATTGGAAAAGTACAACCAGAGGATTGCTCACTCGATAAATTCATCGACAAGGCAAACATTTATTTAATATTATTTATGGTCAATTTACCAACAAAACTATTATTGGCATTGTTTATCAACTACCAAAGAAAAAAAGAATGCTTCAATACCACTATTACTTTATCAAACGTACATAAAGTTGGTAAA